TGATCGCCATTTCTATGGCACAAAGCACGTGATTGGATTGCCGAACGATGACGCAGCACTCGTTTTTAATATGAGCTGAGCCGAGTTCATACTGAACGCTGACACGGTCCTCGTGTCCAATGTTTGCTCAGAGTAGGTGAGCAAGTAATGGGCGGACAGGCTATGGTGCTGATTTGTGAAAATGGTCGAGACCCTTTTAAAAAGTTAATAAAGCAACATTGATGATCGCCATTTCTATGGCACAAAGCACGTGATTGGATCGCCGAACGATGTCGCAGCACTTGTTTTTAATATGAGCTGAGCCGAGTTCATACTGAACGCTGACACGGTCCTCGTGGCCAATGTTTGCTCAGAGTAGGTGAGCAAGTAATGGGCGGACAGGCGATGGTGCTGATTTGTGAAAATGGTCGAGACCCTTTTAAAAAGTTAATAAAGCAACATTGATGATCGCCATTTCTATGGCACAAAGCACGTGATTGGATCGCCGAACGATGACGCAGCACTCGTTTTTAATATCAGCTGAGCCGAGTTCATACTGAACGCTGACACGGTCCTCGTGTCCAATGTTTGCTCAGAGTAGGTGAGCAAGTAATGGGCGGACAGGCGATGGTGCTGATTTGTGAAAATGGTCGAGACCCTTTTAAAAAGTTAATAAAGCAACATTGATGATCGCCATTTCTATGGCACAAAGCACGTGATTGGATCGCCGAACGATGACGCAGCACTCGTTTTTAATATGAGCTGAGCCGAGTTCATACTGAACGCTGACACGGTCCTCGTGTCCAATGTTTGCTCAGAGTAGGTGAGCAAGTAATGGGCGGACAGGCTATGGTGCTGATTTGTGAAAATGATCGAGACCCTTTTAAAAAGTTAATAAAGCAACATTGATGATCTCCATTTCTATGGCACAAAGCACGTGATTGGATCGCCGAACGATGACGCAGCACTCGTTTTTAATATGAGCTGAGCCGACTTCATACTGAACGCTGACACGGTCCTAGTGACCAATGTTTGCTCAGAGTAGGTGAGCAAGTAATGGGCGGACAGGCGATGGTGCTGATTTGTGAAAATGGTCGAGATTCTTTTAAAAAGTTAATAAAGCAACATTGATGATCGCCATTTCTATGGCACAAAGCACGTGATTGGATCGCCGAACGATGTCGCAGCACTCGTTTTGAATAAGAGCTGAGCCGAGTTCATACTGAACGCTGACACGGTCCTCGTGTGCAATGTTTGCTCAGAGTAGGTGAGCAAGTAATGGGCGGACAGGCTATGGTGCTGATTTGTGAAAATGGTCGAGACCCTTTTAAAAAGTTAATAAAGCAACATTGATGATCGCCATTTCTATGGCACAAAGCACGTGATTGGATCGCCGAACGATGACGCAGCACTCGTTTTTAATATGAGCTGAGCCGAGTTCATACTGAACGCTGACACGGTCCTCGTGTCCAATGTTTGCTCAGAGTAGGTGAGCAAGTAATGGGCGGACAGGCGATGGTGCTGATTTGTGAAAATGGTCGAGACCCTTTTAAAAAGTTAATAAAGCAACATTGATGATCGCCATTTCTATGGCACAAAGCACGTGATTGGATCGCCGAACGATGACGCAGCACTCGTTTTTAATATGAGCTGAGCCGAGTTCATACTGAACGCTGACACGGTCCTCGTGTCCAACGTTTGCTCAGAGTAGGTGAGCAAGTAATGGGCGGACAGGCTATGGTGCTGATTTGTGAAAATGGTCGAGACCCTTTTAAAAAGTTAATAAAGCAACATTGATGATCGCCATTTCTATGGCACAAAGCACGTGATTGGATCGCCGAACGATGACGCACCACTCGTTTTTAATATGAGCTGAGCCGAGTTCATACTGAACGCTGACACGGTCCTCGTGTCCAATGTTTGCTCAGAGTAGGTGAGCAAGTAATGGGCGGACAGGCGATGGTGCTGATTTGTGAAAATGGTCGAGACCCTTTTAAAAAGTTAATAAAGCAACATTGATGATCGCCATTTCTGTGGCACAAAGCACGTGATTGGATCGCCGAACGATGACGCAGCACTCGTTTTTAATATGAGCTGAGCCGAGTTCATACTGAACGCTGACACGGTCCTCGTGTCCAATGTTTGCTCAGAGTAGGTGAGCAAGTAATGGGCGGACAGGCTATGGTGCTGATTTGTGAAAATGGTCGAGACCCTTTTAAAAAGTTAATAAAGCAACATTGATGATCGCCATTTCTATGGCACAAAGCACGTGATTGGATCGCCGAACGATGTCGCAGCACTCGTTTTTAATATGAGCTGAGCCGAGTTCATACTGAACGCTGACACGGTCCTCGTGGCCGATGTTTGCTCAGAGTAGGTGAGCAAGTAGTGGGCGGACAGGCGATGGTGCTGATTTGTGAAAATGGTCGAGACCCTTTTAAAAAGTTAATAAAGCAACATTGATGATCGCCATTTCTATGGCACAAAGCACGTGATTGGATCGCCGAACGATGACGCAGCACTCGTTTTTAATATGAGCTGAGCCGAGTTCATACTGAACGCTCACACGGTCCTCGTGTCCAATGTTTGCTCAGAGTAGGTGAGCAAGTAATGGGCGGACAGGCGATGGTGCGGGCCGCGCGGCAGAACCTGAAGTTGCCTCGCCTGCGAGAGCCAATAGATCCGCCACCGTAAAAAGCCGCACAACGCGTTTTCGTCTACGATTTGATGCTTCTTCTCTACCCCAGTCTCAGGTTATTTCAACATGGTTAATATTCACCAGCTCGCCTGCACCCTTACGATTTTTTCCAATATTGGATTTTTTTTTTAAGTATCTTTTATTTTCTACGCGTTGTGCGGCCCTCCGCGGCGGCGGATCTATTCACGCACACAGGCGGCGCTGGTTCAGGTTCTGCCGCGCTCTACCTCCAACATCATGTTACCGCCAGGGTTGTTGGCTGATCTGTTTGCGAAGTCGCTCCGGTTGCTTCCTTTACGTCGCGTAGACGGAGACTTTATAGGCCGGCTGTTGAAATAGGCACCGCGAAGCATGTGACAGGGTGGCGCACCGCGATCGCTCCGGCCCATGGGCATTTTTGGATCGGTTGTACGAAAATTTATTAGGAATTTTGCCTTCAAAACCACCGTCCACCTCTGTGCTGTCAATTAGTCTTTTCCTGTCCACCCTGTAGCATTTTTATACTTTTTAATAATAATTAAATAATGGAGAACGGGTATGTGCACGCCCCATTTATGGCAACCGCGTTAGCGTCAGTTTGGCCATATTTAGTGCTTAAAAACTTAAAAGCCACACAAATATTGCATTAAGTTTTGCAGACTCTGTTAGTAAATATTATAAACGCTAATTTCAGAGAGTTTAAAGAATATTAAAGATGGCCTTTTTGTTTTAAATGATTTTCAAAACAATGCATTTGTAGTTAAATGCCCCTGTGTGAGCAATTCTCGTAAATTCATCCCGCTAACCAGGAGAATAATATTTCACTCAAAGATGGACTATATACAGGGCAACACACTGGCGAAGTTTGAAGACCTTAGCTTTTATAGATACGGAGAAAACTATTCTTTAATCCAGAGCATCATTGCGCAATGTGCCCTGTTTGCGATTTTTTTTTTCTCAAAATAACTACGCTAATACTCACTGATTAATACTTTTTGTCAATCCTTACTATGCCTAATTTGTCAGTGAATATTTCTAGACCCGTAGCCAGAACAGTTTTTGGGGGGAAGCTGCCCGAAATGTCAACATCGCGCGATACGCAAAACGCGCACGTGACTGTGACAGGGTGCTTACAATTTTTTTCGCAAGGGCAAATTTTTTCCCCCCGAAAACAAGGGTTGATTTTATTCTTCTGGTCATAAAGCCAGCAAAATATATATTTTTAATCAAAATTAAAAATGGTCACCGGACATGGTTGTTCGATCTTCTCTGAAAACGCCCTGCTTTGGGTGTAGGGGAGCTCTTATTTCCTCAACATTGGAGTCCTCACTACACATAGATAGAATACAAATTATGGAACATTTTTCGGAGAAAGATTACTGACAAAATGACAACGCATATATGCACAAATTGCAGAATTTATCGTAATTTCTTATCACAATTTATGGGTCATCCTTCTACATTGCAGGACAGTGTAATTTATGACTAGAAGTAATATAAAACAAAGCAATACACCGGCATACTTTACTACCTGCGAAAGTTTTGCATTTATCTTTCTGGGCAATGAAACAAAACCAGATAGAACGATATAAACTCAGGTAAATCAATAAATTGATTAATACAAATAGGAACTGGAGAACGAACAGAACACAAACGCAAACTGCATTATTAAGCGGCCGATGCACTATGTAACAGCATCGGTAAAGAGTAATAACATAAAACACTGCGGACAACAAACACTCCATTGCTATTGCTATTTCTTTATATTTTTGTCTAGACTTGACCCCCCAAGAAAGCCTTTTCCGTAATGTTTGCGAATTGCTTGCACGCTAACTTTTCTCGTTACTTTGACTTTCGTTAAGCTGCATAAGCCGCTGGACAACCGCCGAGGCTAGGACTTAAGGGGGGGGGGGGGGGGGGGGCGAGGTGGGCTGGGACTTGTCGCCCCCCCCCCCCCCCCCCCCCTTTTCAAGAAAATTGGGAACTTTCCGCCTATGCCTTCATATATATTTATATATAATCAACACATTATCACACTCTAGGCGGGCTTCACGAGCACCTTTACGGGATAGCTGCCTTTCCGTGGCTCCGTTTCACGTTTTGTTGTACCGCAGCAAAGGCTAGAAGCGCGAGCTCATAGCGTTGGCAGCTGCCCTTGGTGCACGGGAGCTTGTGCCGCCGAGATGTGCCCTAGAACAAGGAGCTCGCGCATGTAGCCTTTCCTGCGGTACAATGGAAGGTGAAACAGACCTACGAGACACGAAACTCGTACTTTAAAAAGCGCGGCTTGCGCTCACGTGGTTTGAAAAAAAAATAGAGAAAAGCCGTGGCGCCCTCTACGGACACTCCTCCCAAATCGTGCGAGAAAAACAAAACCATCTGAAGCCCGTTTCTGTTTACGCACTTTCGCTGAGTGTTCTTTTCGCATTGGTGCGGCTTGAGTGACAGTTAATTTAATTGCTGTTATCCTGTGCAAAATACTGCCTTTCGCAATCGGCTGCGGGCAGCACAATATCTCCTACCCGTTCATCACGTGTTTGCGAAGATCAACAGCGAACAAGGTCCACTGATCGGGCTTCGAGGTTGTGAGGAAAGAAATACAATTAACCGGGCGCTTGTGCGTTGGGCACCATCGTAGGACGCCTATGACTTGCCTGAGGGTTCCGGCAGAGGAGCACGGCGAGTAAGTGAGCTCCACCAAAGTTGTGCGATAATATGATTTGCGACCGAAAGCGAATCAGCAAACTTGGATGTTGTTGCCCGGTCAGCAGGTGATCGGTCAGTCGGTTCAGTGCTTGTACTTGCTAACCGCATCGACAAATCTCCGTTTAGGTATAACGAGATAACGACATACCCGGCAGCAGCGATACCTTCTAACGTTTGCCTTTTGGCCCGTTCGGACCGGCAGTATTCGTAAATCGCTTCCCGCCACCTCCCACGATCTAAGTGTCTACGCGATAAGGCTCCGGATCATCTGTTGTTCTACGCCTTTTTTTTACGAGCGTCAGGATTGGGCTCTCCTTTTAATGTCGCGTGCCCAGCCGCCTCGGAAAGGTATCGCTGAGTTTTAGTTTGGTGAGAGGCGCATCGAAGAGGTGAGCCGCCTCGTTACATCGAAGGCTGAGAGCTACCCGATTGCATCACCCGTGTGAGCTGAAAACGCTTCACTTGCAGTCTTGTGCAGAAAGTCACGTCAATGAAAATCCTGCTTGTGCGCTCCAAGCATTCGGATCATGCCCCAGGGATGTGACCATGCAACGTATGCCCCGTGACAACGAACACACTGATCTAGCTTTGTTTATGCTTTGGCCTTCGTTTGGGTTGGTTATCGCGGATACTAATAGGCCAGGGCTACAGACCTCTCCACATGAACCTGGCAGTTGACGCCTCAAAACGTGTGTGTGTTTCAATTCGCTCTTCTAGTAGGAAGGTTTCGGCTAAGTGAGAAGAAACCGTTGAAGTTGCGCCTGTTTCTGGAAATGACCTTTCAGCACTTTCTAAGTGAATTTCTGACATTACACTTATCCGGCACAAATACCTTAGAGTAGTAGAGTGACCTGTCATCTTCAATTTAATTTTACCAGCATACAGTTTTGCAGAGAGCTTTGCAAGCTACTTCCTCCAAGTTGTGTTCGAATGGAGAAATGCATTGAAACTCACAACTGCTGTATCCAAGTTCCAGGGCGTGCGAGCACTATTTCGTCGTAAAAACATCAACAACAACGACTTGTAAGCAGGGGGGAAGGGGGGGGGGGGGGCTATGTTTGACAAATGTTTCGTTTCTCCCCAAAAGAAACGGAGTGACGATATCGCGTCCGATTGGCTAGAGGCTCAAATGACGAAAGAGGGAACTTTTGTCATTTGAGCCTCTAACCAATCAGACGCGATATTGTCAGTTCCGTCACTTCTGTTTCTTTTTAGGAGAAACAAAATAGTTGTTGAACATAGCCCCCAGGTCAATGAACAAAGTAGTATTTTTAGATTATAGACACATACTGTACATGTTTAAAAGTTCTAAAGGTGCAAACTATACAAAAATATATATTTTTTGAATAGCTCAACATTTTGGTGGTTGCCGCCCAGAGTGGTTGTTGAGATCAGATTGTTTGGCTGTTTCATGTTCAGCATTAGTCAGGAAGAAAAGCTGAGACTGTCATTGCGTTGCTTTTGCCCTCGATGACCCCGCGGGTGACGTGCAAGGTAGCTGTACCCAAGCGGCCATTGTGGACTAGCCTTGATCTGGATGGCACTAACACCTACCACTTGCAATGTAAAATCATTACTACAGGTAAATAAGTGACTGTGGAGTCTTCCAGGATCCACGGTCGCGTTGCATCCGAAATGAAGATTGTTCACGCTCATTTTTTTTTCCTTTTAAAACAGTACAAATTATAATAATAAAGCACAAACTGTAAGAACTGTTAGTTAATGTGGAGCTCTCGTCAATGAGGAAATAACAGGAATGATGTTAATGTCAAATGCTAACTATCTAACAAAAAGTTTTACTTTTCAGCCCAAATATATATATATATTTTTTTTTTTTTTTGTAGATTGTACATTGTTTGTGGAACTTAGTCCAAAATATTTGGTACAATGAAACTTTTCACAGAGTTGTCTTTTGGGTAGGACATTTCTCATACTCACAATTTGTGTGTGTAGGTTCTAGGAAAAAACGCAAAAAGAGAGAAATGTGTTTTAACTATGCACAGGGGAGAAAAATTAAACATATCATCTGGTTGACCCCGTCACTCACAAATGGCATCACACTGCTCGAATCTGCTAAATCTGCTTTTGGGTGTTTGTGTAAAAATAAAAATACTTTTCAAGTTTTATCCCCTTGAATGGGCGCATGTGTTTAGTGGGTCTAAAGATGCACGACACTTCCTTCAGACAGAGCGCGCCATGGCATGCCAATTTTTGATGCAAATTATAGGTGCTGCCATCTATCAAAGGCGATATCAAACATGTTTAGGTAAATTTGTGTTCACTAGCTGGCAAAAGAATTTCATTGCTTTGTCAGGAAATATGTTTTTAGAGTGCAGCTCTTGGTCGCTCGTTCCCGTGTTTCGTGGTGTCGCCGTCGACGTAATTGCGCGCGTTGCATTGTGGGACGTCGCAGAGCTATACGCCAATTTAATTCCCCGCTACATTTAGCGAAGAAACTAAATTGGTGTGTAGGACTGTGACGTCCCATGATACAACACTGCGTCTTCAGTTTTCCCTCTAAATTTAGTGGTAAAACTGACGTCACTTGAGCTCAACACCAATTCAGTTTCTCCGCTAGATTTAGCGGTAAAATTGACATCACGTGACCTCAACGCCAATTCAGTTTCCCCACTAAATTTAGCGGGGAAACTGAATTGGCGTTGAGGTCACGTCACATCAATTTTCCCGCTAAATCTAGCGGAGATGCTAAATTTGTTCATAGGTGGCGTGACCCAAAGTCATGTGATGCTATTTTCCTTGTCGAATTTAGCGGGAAAACTGAATTGGTGTTGAGGTCACATGGCATCAATTTTGCAGATAAGTTTAATGGGGAAACTGTGGGAGGAGGGATGGGATGGAGGAGGGAAAAGTCCTCCACACCCTTTCCTTCTCTGTACCCTCCCCTCCTCCTGTTTAAATAAATAATATTAAATGAAATGAATAATTTATATATATTTATATATAATTTATATTAGGTATGCAGGAGTATGAGGTCTATATTTGTTCATGTAGATCAGGGGTCTCAAATACACGGCCTGCGGGCCGCATGCGGCCCGCCAGTCGCTGGGAAGTTGCCTGCAGGCCACCGGCGCAAGCCCCCGTTCCCATGTCTCAAGAGCTAGAAATGGCATACATTATACTTCATGTCGTCGATTCATTTCTGCTCGAAACAGTTCTGCTCTTATAACTTTAATTTGCCTCGGATTAATTTTCGTTTTCCAGCTTTTTACCCATGTTAAGCACCTACCGTAGAATACCGCACATCTGCCCAATCCACATTAAGTGCCCATTACCAAATTTGTAAGATCTGAGAAAATATGTACAGTACATTGATATGTAAAAATGATGACCGGACAACCACCCATCCCCCGTTTTTTTGTGATTGTCCCCAAAGTTTGAGTGGGTGCTTGCCCGGTATTTTACGGTATATGACAATCCCTCTATTATTCTCACCTTCAGAAAATATCATTATTAAAATACATGTATTTTCTGGTACTGCTGCTAATAAAACTGTGAGGAAAGCAGAAACTACCAAATGGAGAATATATATTTTTTTTACTTGATAAGTTTGCCAAATTTTCGAGCAAATTGTTCTATTAAAAAATGCCGGCATGTTGGTGGGGCAGCACCATTCTAACTTGTTATCGCAACAGGTAAAGGACCAAAGTAGTCCTATAAACAAATCAAAGGTACAGCTACAGCTGTCACTCGCGAAACTGCGAGTTTATAACAAACAGAGGGCACGAGGTTCCTTCTTTGCAAAAATCTATCGGCCCCCCCCCCCCCCCCCCCTTCCACCGCCCTACGTTGGCCCTTGACTCGTTGAGGGTGGGTAATCTGGCCCCCACACTCAAATGAGTTTGAGACCCCTGATCAGAGGTCGGCATTTTAGGTCGCCCTCACTGACCCTCACCCTCACAGCCACACTCACCTAAGCCCCTCACTCACCCTCACAGCTACACTCACCTTCAGCCCCTCACTCACCCTCACCCTCACAGTCACTCACCTTCAGCCCTTCACTCACCCTCACTGAACCTCACGGCCCTCACGCCCCTCACGCCCCTCACCGCCCTCACGGCCCTCACGCCCCTTACCCCACTCACTGCCCTCACGCCACTCACCGCCCTCACCGCCCTCACGGCCCTCACGCCACTCACCGCCCTCACGCCACTCACCGCCCTCACGCCACTCACCGCCCTCACGCGCCTCACCGCCCTTGCGGCCCCCACACCCCTCACGCCCCTCACGCACTCATGGCCCTCACACCACTCAGACCAGCTTCAGATGGGGCAATTTCGCCCAGAAACTTTACGTCGCAACACCAGCAACACGGGCCGCCCGCGATCACACGCAGCAACCAATTGCTGCAATTTGCCATCGTCATCATAAAATTTTATTTTTCTTGCATAGTGCAAAAAAAAATAAAATTACGCGTTATAGCGTTATAAACGTGTTTTTATGCATTTAAATCTCGTTAAGAATACTAATGCACCTTTCTGAAACAGTTTATTTCCAAAAAAACGATCGATTTCAAACCAGAACCAAGTCTTTCGGTGTCATCATCACCGGCACGAGGTATCACGTGAAAATTTTGCGTCCCTGATTGGATGCAGCCGCTTCAAACGTATTCGAATTGCTCCGAGTTGCTTGCTTATATCGAGCCGGACCCGATCTCAGCAATTTGTGTCGATCTAGGGAAAGCTAGAGAACAACCCGCCATTAACACAAAATTGTTGAGAAAGATGCTCGATCTGAAGGGGGCCTCACGCACTCACCGCCCTCACGCACTCATGGCCCTCACACCACCTCATGCACTCACCGCCCTCACGGCCCTCACGCCTCTCATGCCACTCACTGCCCTCACGCACTCATGGCCTTCACACCCCTCACGCACTCACCGCCCTCACACCACTCACGCACTCATGGCCCTCACGCCACTCACCGCCCTCACGCCACTCACCGCCCTCACGCCACTCA